AAAAAACATTCTTCAGGATAGTTGCCTCTCCACACACCTGACTTGTACCTGAAAGTGTATCATTCTGCTCTCTGCCCCTTCATTCGTCCACAGCTGTCCACTGTCAGTTGTGTGTCTCGATATATGCAGAGAATCAGTGCAACTACTTATGTTCAGATCATTGTCAAGCAAACCAACATGGTAAAATATGACTATGGATTTCTGATCATCCAATGCAAGACTAATATCTAACCACGCTGACATTGAGAAACTTTAACTGAAACTTGAAAAAACGCTAGGGTGCCTACGTTTTTTTATCGGGTTTATGCCAATAGAAAGAGTCCTCTCAATATCAACCAGAATCTATGATGTCATGGGGTAAATTGAACCAATGGTTTGATTTTGTGATTACGTAAACTTCCTAGAAACTGTTTAAATCTCTGATCTGTGTTGGCAAATTTTACCATTTTGTAAAGTCCTTTGAGATAACTTACTGTTGTGATTTAGGGCTTTACAAGAAAAAAATGTAAATGAATTGAACTCCCTTAGGCAAAGGAGACAGTCAACTGTGTTGGCCCTCACAGGTCTCATCACTGAGGGTGGACTTTGTAGACCTGGTGACAGTCAAACCACCTTCTCATCAATGTGGGGGAAGACCAAGGAGATGGTGACAGATTTGAGTTGAGAGAATGGATTCTTTACAAGTACCTCGGTCTTCATCTGAAACACAAACTGGACTAACAAACACAGACGCTCGCTTCAGGAAGGACCAAAGCTGCCTCTACCTGCTCAGGAGACCCAGATCTTTTGGACCCGAGGAACTTCAGGAACTTCTATGACTCTGTGGTGGTGAGTTGTAAAGTTTCACAAGGGTGTCAGTGATTATAATAAAACTGTAATCAAAGCTATTTTGTAATCGAGTAGTTTAATGAACATTTCTGACTTCTGTCCTTTTCACCTGCAATATTGTGGTTTGTGCAAACTGAGTAAAAACTGACCATGAAATTTCCCATTTTACTTTACAAAAACTATATTCACTTTTTTTTTGATGGATCAACTTACCCACTGACTTGATTCAACTTACCCACTGACTTGGCCCAACTTACCCACTGACTTGGCCCAACTTACCCACTGACTCGGCCCAACTTACCCACTGACATGGCTCAAATAACCTACTGACTTGGCCCATATTTCCCACTGTCTTGGCTCAACTTACCCACTGACATGGCTCATTGACGTTCCCTGAGGCAAGTTTAGACACTTTTTTTGAACTGCTTTGTCCTAGATCTCCTCGTCTCACTTGATACACATCTTTTTTTTTTAAATGCACAGTTTTATTGTGTTTTTAATTCCTTGTATCTTTTCCTCATGCCCAGGCAACGACCAAGCAAAACCTGTCCCAACTTACCCTGCGCTCTCCTCTATACCCCAGCTGTATAAATGCATAAAAAGTGCAGCAGTCTGGCGTCCTCTGATGCTGATTGGGGGCTCGTCTGCCTCCTCTGGGCTGTAGTGTCTGAAGCTGCTGTTTTTTCCCTCTCTCCTGACTCTAATTAAAGAGAAAGTATTAGTACGGCGTCCTCTCTGTGACCCGCTGTGCCTCTCTCTGCTAAACACCAGTCACCCCTCTCTCTCTGATACCAGTCCACGCTTTTATCTCAGCAGCCTCTTCCACAATCTGTTCAACTGTGAGAAAGTTTCAAGATTTTTTACTCTCTTTAAACTACTTTCTCAAGTGCCAAGGTTCATTGCTGTTGTGTACATACAGGCGGAAGAAATATGAGCACATTTCTTTTGATTTGCTGAGTTTAAAGCATAGGTTATCGTTCCAAATTGGCCAATATTTTTCTGATATAAAAAAGTATTGTGCTGTGTTCGTAATGCACCTGCAGCACGGTTTGCATATTCAGTGTTTTAGATTAGGATTCTAACCTTTTAGAAAATGCCAGCATACTAAGTGATGACAATAAAAGTACAAAACGACAATTTCACATAAAGATTAACAACTGACCTATAAATAAGACGCTTCCGCTTCCATGCAACACTGCGAAAAACCTATGTTCGATCATTCAAAGCTGCAGAAAAAGTGACACCATAAATATTTATCGATTCTCAAATGTTCTCCTGTGATTAATGTTTTTGAACGCAGTCGGTTGTAACCTATTTTAGTGCCTGGTCAAACACAGCAGCTTTATAAATACTCATCCCATTCAGTCTATTATAGAGCTGTCGGCCATGTTGGTATGGTGTTGGCAGAGGGGACCGGTACAAATGGTCCAGAAACTCTGTGGGAAGCAATGCAAAACACCACAGTGCTGCTTGTATCTGGCTCCTGCTTGGAAAGAAATAGTAAATTAATTCAAGATATTGTCGCTGATATGTTATTTTTGACCCAATGGATAAAGCAGAGGAAAATGGATGGGTGGACCCTTATCTCCAATCAGGTATACTGTATACTGTGTAGTACTTTGATTTTATTATATGACAAAAAACTATAGGCACTCAAAAATGCCAATTTCTTAGTCCAAATATACAAATACAAAAATACATTGTTTTAAAGCCACTAAAATCATGCTTTTTACTGGTGGAAGGATTAATATTGAAAGTTAGAGCCAGCAGAATATTCTTCTCCGGGATTCAAGCTTATAAAACTACTATGCAGACTTTAAAAAATATATGCAGTAATTACAAATTAGGCCTTTTTCTTGTTTTGTTGTTTTTTTTAACAACAAAATCTTTTCGTTCTTTGATTGTTTTCTCTGCAGATTGAAAAATAGGATTTTTTTTAGGGGAAAAAATAGATGGAATCAATCAGGCACGCTTCTTCTCCATATACAGCCACAGTTCACCTCCGCCCTCTCTCCCCCTCCCCAGCCGCTTCCCCCACCCCCCTCTCAGGACTGCAGACTGAGGACATGCATAAATTCACCCACATTAGTATTCCAGTCAGGCTACTCCATTTCAAGGCAAGGCCGGGCACCCTTTTTCACCACCAAGCCTCTCCAAATCTTTAGTTTGGACAACAAGCATAGAACACTTTTTGTAAACCCCAGCTCAAATTATTTTATGACTTTTCAGGAAAGCAAGTCCATGTCTTTTTGCAAGGCGACACAAGTCTATGCAGCTGTGTCGCCTTTGAAATGGGGTTTTTGGTGCTGTGTGCATGGTGTCTTTGTGTTTTGATGTCAGCTCAAGCGGACTGGGCGATAAATCACGCATGTCTGATTGAGGAGGGCAGAGGGTTTGGACAATAACAAGAGGAGGAAGAGGAAGGAACACGAAACAGAGGAAAGTGGTCCAAATGAGGCAAAGGACCAACAGAAAAGTGCAGATTGGACAGAGTTGGACTGATATTTAGATGGCATGGGCAGGCTGTGACATTGGAGCATGAGTCAAGGTTATGCTGCTTTGTTATGGTGCCATGGATTCAGAAATAGAGAATACAAAAAGATAAAAACAATAGTTTAAGTGTAGTGAGGGGAACGATTGTCTGTGGGTCATTGGTGAGTATCTCAGCTTAAGTGAGTATCCACCAAGAGAGAGAGAAAGGGAAAATAACAACATTGCTCTCGTCCAAAAGGCAATTTTCTCTGTTTCCCCAAAGAGACAGTTTTGTTTACGCAATCATTTTAAATCATTTATAAAACATTAGGCCTATTGCACGTTTTATGTACAATGCAATCCAAACAATCTTTCTCATAAATTAGTGATGGAAAGAACAAGAATTTATATCAAATCTGATCAAAAAGATAAGCTATTCAAAATTATAAAAAAAAAAAATTGAAATCTTGAAATTATTATATATATATATATATATATATATATATATATATATATATATATATATATATATACATACATTATATACATACATTATATATATATATATAATTTATTAATTAATTTCAAGATTATATGTAAACAATTTGCTAGATTTTGATTTTCAGCAGTGAGAATATTAACAAATGTATCTTCATAAATAACTAATCAATCAAAAAATAACGATAATTCTAATAATAAAATAAATGTTTACAATAACAATAAAAATAAGTGTATTACGAATAAGAAAGTTGAGTTGGTCGATCTTTCCCCTTGTCTCCAGACTCAGTGTGTTATGACAGTAAAGACTTGAATTGTTTTGTTTCTTTTTTACAACATACATAGTTTATTTGGAAACATAATACAAGCTTTATACTGAAAATAAATAATTACTTGAGCTGTCATCGAAATTTGGACCAAAGCCCAAACAGTTCTTATGGAAAATATCCTGTTTGTTTTGTACGCTGCTAATTAGGTGCGGATAATAACTAAGATCATTTCTGTTTAAATTAATGACTTCAAAAGAGTAATATATAAAACTGTACAATATTCGAAAAAATACTTAAGAAATAAACGGATAAACAGGAGGATTATAAAATTTGTTTTTCGATAGTGAACAATAAAAGTATAGGCAGGTGTCGCGTACGTCGCGCTGCAGTCCACACAGTTTATGGTCGAACGTGGATGAAAACACAACATAACAATAATGTGAAGCTACAGGCCAAAGAGAGAGCAGGACCCTGCTCTGTAAGTGCTATGCTTCCTCTACGCGTCAAATGACTCAGGGCCTACTGGAGAAAATAATTACATATTGCGTTACAAAATAATGAGTGTAAATAGGAGAACTAAAGCAGTGCGTTTGAGCCCGAGGGGAGCGTGAGGAGAGACGGCCTCTGTGTCCGCAGCAAATCAATGAACACAAGTAACTGAGCCACTCTTATTTCTGTAGGTCTCACTCCTCTGCGAGCGCGCAAACATCCAGGGCCAAAACAAGGGACCAGCAGTCCCGGCGGATGCGGACAGTGTGAGCTGATGGTGAATCAAACCAAGGCGCTGGCAGGTTCTAGGCACATTTGTAATATTATTATATCCTTGATTCGTGTGGTGTAAAAGAGAGTGGTGCTGATGCAGTAATGCCCTCACGGCGCTGGAAGGACGAAGGCCGGACAGGTGTCTGTAAAAGTCTGAGAGTCTGACCGGGGTCAGAGGTCATGGCACGAGGCGTCTCCGTGGGAGTAGGGTCCCTCGTGCGGCGGTGGCGGTTCTCCCGGAGGCGTCATGCGCTTCTCCTTCTGCCGCCGGTTACAGAACCACACACGCACCACCTCCTTTTCCAGCTGCAGGGAGTCCGCCAGAGACGTAATCTCATGCGCGGAGGGTTTGGGACACTTGAGGAAGTGCGTCTCCAGGACCCCTTTGACGCTCACCTCGATGGATGTGCGCTTCTTTCTCTTCCGACCCTGAGCTGCGATCTTGTCTATGCTGCTGGCACTGCCCGTGGACGAGTCGGCCTCCTCCAGCCACTTATTGAGCAGCGGCTTGAGTTTGCACATGTTTTTAAAGCTCAGCTGCAGCGCCTCGAACCTGCAGATGGTGGTCTGAGAAAACACGTTCCCGTACAGAGTCCCCAGCGCCAGCCCCACGTCTGCCTGCGTGAAGCCCAGCTTGATGCGCCGCTGCTTGAACTGCTTGGCAAAGTGCTCCAGCTCGTCCGAGGTGGGCGTCTCCTCGTCCGAGTGGTCGTGGCAGTGGTGCGGACCCAGGTCCCCGTGCTCAGGGCTCAGGGTGTCCCTGAGGCCCCCGTGCATGCCCTGGCCCCCGGGCTCCATGATGCTGTTCACAGAGAAGCCCGTCTGAGAGTAGGACATGTTGTTGTGGGTCACGGGGCTGCCCCATGCGCCCGGGTGGCTGTTGTGGGTGTTGTGATGGGGGGAGTGGTGGTGGATGATGCCTGGCTTCACGTCCTGCTGCTCCATAGAGCCAGACCAGGGGCTGCCCTCCCATTGGTGTCCCAGCGCGTGTCCGTAGTCGCTCTGCAGCAGTTTGTGGTGGCTTCTGTAGGGGCTGGCGGGCTGCATGGCCTGGCTGTCCGCATGCAGCATGGGGCTGGAGCTGAGCAGGGTGTAGGGGCTGGACGCCGCTGTGGCCATGCTGCTGCTCGACCCCGCTGGAGCTACTGACGCCAGGCTGCACCGCAGCCCAGAAACATCTCCCTCTGGCTCTGCTCAGATTGACAGCTGCTCGGACCAATCAGCGCGAAGTGACGACTCTCACGGACCAATAGCCCGCGTGCTCCTTTAAGACCCTCCTCTGCTGAATTGTGTTTACAGTAATCACAACTTTATCGGGAAACGGAGATGTAAACACATGTGTGTTCATATCTGCCTGGGCCAATTCTATAAGTCTATTTATGAGGCAATTATCCCGTTATTTCAAACTCACACTTACCTCCACAAAAGCAGACTTAGGGACTTCATGGGGAAGTGTTTTTGGTGAAGAGGCTTTGTCAGTTGCACGTCAAGTTGTCGGCAACTCAGAGTACTATTGAACTGATTTAAATTACATGTCGTCATCTTGTGTTATAAATATGTCATTGTTCACTTTGCAGCCCCATATAGCTTTTACCATGTTTGGCAAACATAATAATGACAATATGACAATAATAATAATGACAATAATCATAATAATAACAATAACAGAGGCCTGTGGGCTTTAGTAATGGTGACACTGCTGTCTAGTCCTTCAGTCCACCAAGAAAAGCCTTGTCCTGCAGCATCTGAAAGCACTGCTTGGTGCCTGCTGTTATGGTGCAGACAATTCATGGGGAGAGGTATAGGGGGTTCTCGAACCGGAAGTGAGCTGTGTCGGTCCACTTGCTCCATGCTGGTGCGGAGTGACGCCAGTGTGCATGGGGCGCAGTTCCTGTTTATTAATTAAAGTTTCCAACTGATTTACGCACGAGTTTATTGCCGCTCGTGTCACCCTCCAGCACGTGCGAAGGAGGAGATTAAAGCGCGATGGCATTTGTGAGACGTGCCAGCACTTCATTTGGAGCCCCACAATCAAACCCAGACCAGTTCCCGCGCGCTAATGATTAACTTTAACGCAATGTTTCCTGGGGTGTTTATAAGATCTCACCTAGATAGGCTGACACGCTGCTCTATACGCACGAACATTCCCATATAAATATTCATTACCGCGGAGTGGAAATTTCACTGTCACGGATGTGTAGGTGAGAATGTACTGGCATTAAAATCCCAGTTTTTAAAAGACAAGACAACCCCACATTTCCAGCTCATGAAATTCATTGATTCAAATCCTTCACTGCTCGTACAAAGCCAGGCCTCCTCCATTGTAGCACTATTTAAAAATCTCCCCACAGCTCGTGTCTGAATTGAAAAACCTAATCTAACTGCATATCTGAGCCCTAACTTCGCCCGCGCGTAATTATATTTGCCATTAGAAGACTCCGCGCGTTCCAGTCTCCTTATTGGTTTGTGAAATTCCATTAAATATATTGCTCGGGCTCCCAGGTTAAGCTTGATTTAAATTTGCATACATTTTCATACATTTAGGAGAAATAAAAGAAGCACTGCAGCGACCAGAAAGTCATTAAAGAGCGCGGAGCCGTGGAAGTAGACCGAGGTGCTGCTGGAGGAGGAAAGAGAGGAGAAAACCTGGGAGCGCAGGCGGGCAGACATGGCGCACCATGGCCGGAGAGGTGAGGGCTCTGACCGCGGGGGGAAGATGCTGCAGGGGGAGGACATGGGCCCGCTGTATCAGGGTTAGACAGAGGACACACACCCACACACGCACACACACACGCACACCCCCCCCCCCCCCCCCCACACACACATACAACACTCCTCCAATACGCACGCCATTACAGAAACAGGCCTCTATATAGCCTATTTGACTTCATTTGCTGGATTTTGTCTTTTTTGCTGTGCGTAATTTGGCGCGTTTGAAGCTTTAAAGGCTGTGTCTGATGTCTGGGATGTGTTATTCTCAAAGCAACTGAGATGGATTGATTTTATTCGCCTCACATAAGCATAGCGTTGTAAAAATAATAATAAGGCAAAAAAACATTCATAGTTATTTATGTATTTATAGTCACTTTTGTCTTTCTTTTTTTTTGTTATGCCTGGATGTCCACACAGGCCTATGCTAAAAACCTGGCTGCTATATCAACGAACCACATGCGTAATCCTGGTGTGTATAACTTACAGCGCGTCGTTATAAAACCCACAAACAAACTATATTTACGCACGAAGCTTGAAGCTAAGAGGACTTAACTCCACGGACGGGGGTGCATGCACGCTCTTTCTCGCTTTCTCTCAACAGTCTAAGTTTCTAAGTGTAACAGATGCTTCTCTAGAAACAGCTCCTTGTGCCGATCCCTTTTATTCACATGGACATTTTTGTGGCGTGGAGCGCGTTTCCATAGCGAGGCGAATAAAAGGCAAATCCCCACTCCGCGCCTCCAATAAAGAGCCCATTCACAGATAGCCCGAGTGCGCAGACCTGGCTACACTTGCACACACAGGCTCCCAAACGCACCAGCGATCATTTCTGACCCGTTTGTTTGTGTTTATGAAGCGACTAGAGTCATTATACGCACAGCTATTTCCACATATATCAAGGACAACACTTATACTCCACAGGAAAAAAAAGAAAAAAAAACAATTAGACTATTTTGATTATCGATAGTGATATTACAAGATTATTTAACATGTTATTTGCGTGTATAATTCTGCACTAATCAGTTAAACAATTCATTTTTTGTTTTTATTTTTAAAAAATGTTTGCGTTTAAACCAAGCGTATTGTTCACTTGAAACATTAAGCCATTGCCTTATTTTGGGGTATGTGAAAAACGTCATCTATTATTCATATATTTTAATGGAATAACCACAACATTTCTGTACATGTTCTTGGCAGCGAAAAGAGACATATTTTGAGGTCAGATGTGAGTAAAAAAGGCGCAGCTTTTGTTGCCAACACCCCGCTGCTAAGGTCAGACAATCGCAGTGTGGACAAATATAATTCACCATGTAACGGGTGAGAGTCTGAATATACCCATAGCAAAACAGGTTTGGAATTTAAAATAAAATGGATTGTTTGGCACTTATTGTAGAATTAAATCCCCACAGCGTGTTTCATCGTTGCCAAAACCTTCATTTGTCATCGTTGCCTCTCTCTTTTATGCATAATCCCTTTTTTTCTGTTGAATATATTGTTATTTCAAACCGTCACATTCGCGCTGACTCGGTGGGTCCGTATATAAATCAAGCTCAGACTGGGGGCACAGACAGCTCAGGGCCCCGGGGCGGGACCTGTCACACGGTGTCACGACCTCTCTGAAGCCTAAATCTCCGCTGAGAGTCAAAATGAGAGAGTGTCTGTGGAGATATAGGCACATATAGGCTGTCTGCACATTTGGATTCAAAACGATAATTATTACGTTACCTCTGCAGTATACTTTTAAATGCATGTAGATTATGGTCAATTTTAACACTTTTGAGGTATTTCTTGTAATCAAAGTCTGGTGCACAAAGAGACCTATTGGGATAATGATAAAATCCTGGGAATATATTACGAATTATAGGAATTTCTCATATGGGCCTATCTCGCAGTATATCCAAGCTGATTCTCACATTTACAAATACAGTATCATTGAGATAAATCGTATCCTATGATTTATTGTTCATATGTATTCCAAAACGTTTATTGATTCTATTATCAACTATGGTCACACTGCAGTCGACTAACCGTTGCTGCTCTGTAATCCATAGAGCTTTGCATGTATTATATATATACCAGGTGATAATGCCACAGAATGACATGCATCCTGCGCCCTATGTCTGAAAATATACGAAGAGTGCTTTTATCATGATAATATATAGGCCTGTATGTTATACTGTACTGGGATTATTTATGATTTTAATGTGTGATTGTTACTATTTTGTTTTGTTAAGCACGTTGAGATGGCTTGTATGAACTGTGCAATACAAATAATCTTGCCTTGCCTCTATATCAAATATCTCTTACGCACACTGTTTTTGATTTTGAACTGTATAATTCACTGGACTTTTACAAATGTTGTCGATTCTTTCACCATCCACAAAAATGCGTGTTGTGGAAAAATTCCAATGGAATCTGAATACAAGCAAATATATATATAAAGGCCTTTGTGGATATATTTCCCACCGCTTCATCACCAAACCTGAATCCACACAGGCCTCCTCCTGATCGCCTATAAATGTTACTTATATTTGAGGCATAAAAGACGATCTTGGTGTCACCCCTGGCAGTAAACTGAGTCGTCCTCTCATCCTTGACATAAGCGACAGTACGCGCGCTCCGCCAGACACTAAAATCGATATTCCCATTAGCGCATGACGTCGCTAATAAAGGACAGTGACACCGCGTTTAAACCGAGCGACCTCAGTGGAAACGACGCTCGCCTTGTTCTACGCGACTGGCTGCGTGTCGGGGACGCAAAGCCAGGAAGAGGTTTTATTTTTTTTTTTTTTGTAGTGCGCTTGTGTCCAGCTGTCAGTCATTATCAAAGAGGGGGAAAGGCACCGGCCACATAATGGGTCAGATATGAGGCTTACGCGCGTCCCAGAGCGCCTCTATGGATATGTATATGTGCGTAAAGGAGCGTGGTGTGTAAGGATGAGCTAATTTGACTTGAGCAAAACAGACTTCCTCGTCCTGCCTGGCTCCTATTATGGGCCTTGCAAATACTATTGAGGACGATCTATTCATATACTGTTTGTTTACCCATATACAGTCAGTGGGAGTTTGTACAAAAGAAATTGGGTGTATAGCTATATCTATATTACACATTGTCTTCCTGGCATGAATTAACAAAATTATAGCTTTTGCTCAAATATTTCCACACACTGACCCTTGACCTCTAACTATGTTTAAATTCATGGTATTAATTCAACCACACTGCAGAAGGTGGGTCCAACAAAAACAAGAACAAAATAGCTACTTTTAAAGGAAATGTATCCAAATGATCTGCCAGTGGATAATTTTTTTTTACGTATGCCTGCATGAGTAAGAAAGTCTAAAATCGGTGTGATTAGATAAATACACTGAAATCTAGTCTATATTTTCACTTTTTGCAGTGCATAAACAGGTTTGAACTTATAACAAGTAATATTATCTTAAATATCTGCATCCTGCATGAGTAAAAAAGTCAAAAATTGGTGATATCAGATAACTGAAATCTACACTAGACTATATTTTCACTGGTCTGAACTTTTTACACTGTTGAACAATCACAAAGAGTATATATGTTCCTTTGCAAAAATTAGATAAGTGTCATTAAGGCTGACAATTTGTCCTTTACCAAGTCGTTTTTAGAAAAGACCTGAAAAAGACCAATTTCAGCGCAAGACAAATAAAGTTTCACCTTTTCTTGAGCAAATCTTTTCCAAAGACTGTAGCAAAGAGAATACAACTGCGGTATCTATTTTTGCAAATTAACCATTCAATCTTGCTCTATTTGATCTTGAAATTATAGCTGAAATAAGCCTTGACCTAATTTCCTTATTTTTTGGCCAATATTGTAAAAAAAGTTCAAAAGTTCAAAGAATAAAAAAGTGCACACATTTTATTTCATCAGAATTGACACTAGAACATGTGGATTTGCCAAACAATTACATGTTTCAATGTAAGTAAGTAATCTTTATACCGCCTTTCACAGACCAGAGTCACAAAGCGGTTTACAATTGTTATTTTTGTTCACTTGTCCTCTCACTCCACACAGAGATGGGAGCGGGGTCGCCAGTACAGGAGGTGCATGCCAGACCTATTGTGCATGTTTTTAGTGGCAGTTTCCGGAGCACCCGGAGGAAACCTGCCCAGACACGGGGAGAAGATGCAAACTCCACTCAGAAAGGCCCTTTTCCGACCGGGATTTGAACCCAGGACCTTCTTGCTAGCGAGAGTGCTATCCACTCAGCCACCGTGCCACAATGCACAAATAGAGAAAAAAAAATATATAAGTTAAAAAGGTATTCAAATATTCTCAATACATGCATGCTTTGAACTTCAGTATACCTATTTAGCTAAAGTATAAACAACTATTTATACTTAAAAAAAAAGATACATTTCCACTTGATAGATACTACTACGTGTACTACATGTTTTAGTCTGTTACTGAAATATGAACAAATCCAGTTGAGGCAAAAACGAACCAGGATCATGATTACGCAGAGAAGCTTAATCATTCAGTTATGGTTTGTCGTAATCTTCAGATGCCCTTAGAATATTTAATACACAACAACTTCTGACCCGAATGTCATCAAACGTGTCAAAGCTTTAAATAAACATCTGGCTTATTAGTATTCCACCTCTCATTCAAATCCAAAGACTCAAATGATTTGGGTTTCCAGTTAATTAGAAAATGAATTCAGTCAAAACAGGCGCGCAGCCTCGGGTCACGCAGTCTGTTATTCTCTGTTTGGAGAGTAAACAGCCACAGCGGCCGCGATGGAGGAGTCACCTCTGGATTATCAGGGAGGAACTCAGCACCTGAACCAAAGAGAAACACTTTGTTTTTGTTTTTTTTTTTCAAACATATGAGCGTTTAGAATGAGGGGTTCTCAAGCTGTGGTGCAGGGAACTTGTCGTTGAAGAACTCTTTCGACACATATGGATTAGCATAAGGCTGTTTTTAGTTTGTAGGAAGCTAAAGTAGTACAAGGGCAGTAATATCATGTTGTGATCAGAAACTTTATCTGTGAGTTTGTGAAACCGTCTGAGGACACTTTAATTATGATGTTTTTACTTCTCATACATTGCAGTTTATGTACATTTCTGAACTCTGGAGGCATTGGAAAAACTGTCTCCACAGAACGGTGTTATATGTCTGTATTTTTGTTCTTTGTGTTATATGGACCTTTTTGTGTGTTTTAATGAAAGATGAAACGATGATTAATAGTAACAATATTCGTCAAAAAATAAAATAAAAAATAAAAATAAAAATGGCCAAGGTTTAGTCCAGGTAATTTGAAGATCAAATTGTAAATATTCTTAATCTTGCGGATCTAATATTTTGTTTTTGTTTTTTGGGAATTGTGCATCGCCTCAAATGCATGTGAGAAGAAGCCTTTACTCTCTGACAAACGGCATTATCTTGCTTTGAGCTGAATGAACAAATGTCAAGAGAAAACATATGGTATGTTTTCTCTTGACATTTGTTCATTCAGCTCAAAGTTGTTTTTTGTGCACCTTATTATTTTTTATAAAGCTGGGGTACTTACACATTTAACCACTCATTTAACTATATGTGATATAGTCCATCCTCGCTGTCATCCCAGTTTGGGTCATATTATTATGATCCTTATTATTGTCCTCTGTCACATCTTTGGATCAACCTTCTCAGACAGAAATGTGAAAAAGAGACCACCCTCACTCGGCCAATCAGCTCTCAGCCCCAAAGGTTCTGGCTTCATTCTTAAAAGTATGCAAAGAATAACAGGTTTTCCACTGAGATTCCTAAGATATGATTTGTTCACAACTGTTTACTTTTACAAAACTCCTCTTGCTATTTGGACAAACGCCACCTACTTAATTTTCTCAACAAAAAGTTAGGTACCCCAGCTTTACCACTTCCTTTTGCCGTACCCTGATGTAAAACACTGTACCTGCTTTTATCATGTTTTTTTGGACTTGCCTTTCTTTGCTCTGAGTTTGCCACGGTCAAACCCACAGAAACACACACCTGACCAGTGCTAGTGCAGCCTCAGCAGCACGATGATGAGTTCTACGCTCTTTCTTTTGTTTAAACAGTTAAACAGAGAGCAGGCTGCCAAATGTACTGAGGTACAGACATGATTATGCTACGATTTAGATCAGATCTGAAGTAAAGGAAAGGTTTTGAGCAATAAAAAAACATTCAAATTGTCGGTAAATTGAGCAATATTCCAGGCAAAGCCCTACCTCCTAATAAAGTTTTATAATCAGAATCAACATCCGAATTATTTTACTGCTGTGTGAGCAACAAGGAGTCACAAACTAGGATATTGACCTCTCGGTGCAAACAAGTTAAAGTAGAGAATAGAATAATAATGGCCTTTTCTTGATCAAGTTTTGGGTCAGATCTAAAGTAAAGGAGCAATAAAGTAAAGCAATACTTTTTTTTAGCTGCCAAATGTACTGAGGTATAGACATGCTTATGCTACGATTTAGATCAGATCTGAAGTAAATAAAAGGTTTGAGCCATACAAAAACATTAAAATTGAGCGATATTCCAGGCAAAATCCTAATTCTTTAACTGTCATTTGAGTAACAAGGAGTCACAAACTAGGAAATTGCATTGGCTCTTTTGGTGTAGAGAATAGAATAATAATGGCATTTTCTTAAGATCGTTCATAAAATATTAGGCCATATAAAAACAACAATGATTGCTGTTTTGTCCCGCAATGGCCGGTTTGAGTTTCCCTTTCCTTTAGACAGAGGTGATTGATTTCATATGCACTTTTCTTGTTTATGAACATCTGTAATAACATTATAAAAGTGCCAGATTAAGGCAAACATGATCGGTTCCATCTGTGTCTCACTTATAGACCCAAATGATTTCTGAGGGGTGACTTAATGTTGTGTTTGTGTGTGTGTTGTGTGTGTGTGTGTGTGTGTATGTGTGTGTATTTGTGTTACAGGTGCAGTGGATGGTAAAGTGGTGCCGGGTCGGTGAGGAATGAATCTACATAAAATTACCATCGCGTTAAACTTCAAACTGCTGCCGACGCTCAGGGATGAGGCGATAAGGGCCCATGGAAGGCTCTCCAGGTCTCTCCACATCCTCTTGTCTGCGTCCGGAGAGGAGCCGTGGGTTTGCTCTCGGCTTCTGCGGTGGTTTGTGGCCGTGATCATTTGTTCCAGTGTGATATTTATCTCTGAAATTAATCCTGTCGTTTATCGTCAGAAGAGAACTTTTTGCCGTTTGTTTCATTCTAATTTTAAGACGGATCAACTTTACCAGTAAGCCAGCATGGTTATAATGATGCATCTGCAGAATAATAGCAAATATTTTATGCCTACACATACGTATAATTTTAAGATAAGATAAAAATGTCAGCGATTTATGAGCATTTTAGGACTGGGATATAATCAATGCAAACTCAATCGATTACGAAATGCTTAAATCACTGAGCAAGAGCCATAATAATTTCTGGAAAACAGTGTGTAATGTCCTAAAACATGTGAAATTTCCCATTTTAGTATTTTTAAATATGCTAAATAATATTTTGAATACACACACACACACTCACAAACACACACACACATAGATACAAGACAGCAATGAAATCCAAAATAAAATCGTCTATTTCTCTAATGTCTTCTTTCTGTATCATCTTAACTCTCAATACTTTAATACCAGTAATAATATTAGTCTCCGGAACAGGTTTGGGTTCAAATAAAAGGTCTTTTTTTTCCTGTGCTGACAGAACATCCCGAGTTAGAGTTGTAAAAACAATTCCGTGGCCTCAAACTTGAAAGAGTTCATAAACTTGAGAGCTGGGTCCTGTCTCCTGCAGCGCGAGGCCTTTGCACAGAACATGTTGTTTTGAAACGCACGTGTTTGAAATGTGGTCTTTAGACTTTTGAGCAATGGCAGCAGGTCAGACTCAGGTGCAGCGTAAACAATGTGTTTCATAGCAGCAATGATTCTTCTCTGTTAAAACAAGAATGAGTGTAAATGAACGGATAGGAGCAGACAGACGCCTAAAACCAGTCAGAGTTCAACCTGACCCAAAACAGAGATTTTCTCATGAATTATTTACTCGTCTCTCTCTGAGCTCTGCACTCTGCATAAACAAGGACATAATTGTACATAACACGTTTTGATTCTTATGTTTTGGCATAATAATGTTCAGTTTTGTGCTTTACTGATTTTCCTCGGTGTAAAAAAAAAAAATTGTGTAAATTATGAGTCTGTTAGTTATGCAGTATTGTGCATTATTAGTGCACAATACTGGAAGTTCACATTTCAAATTCTCTGACTGAATATTTACTCTCTGCATACTTTTGTACTTTCTATTTCTATTGCTAACAGATTGTCGGCCATTTTTCTGAAATTACTTTTTTACAATGATTTACTTAGTATGAACCAATATTACAATGTTTCATAAAGAAGACTGAAAACTCTGTTACTTGCGTGATGTTTTGAAAAAGTTATCTTCAAGGCAAAAAAATAAAAGGTCATCCACCTATAATTAAGTAGTAGTTTATTTATACAGCACATTTTACAGACCAAGGTCAACCAAAGCTCTTTACAAATGTTTAGAGTTAAGTTTTTATTTATTCCAAAATATGGAACATACACAAATAAGAACATTATTATTTCACTTAGTTCAACTTAACCTGAAAAATTGAGAAAGTTTGGACCATTCAGATTCCCATTATATATCCTGTATATGGCGGCTTGCAAAATGGACAGCACATGAATGGGCAAAACTATCAGTCTCGAGATGTGCAAGGCTTGTAGAGTCTCACCCAAAAAGACTACTAAGAAATCTCTACACTTTTCACTTTGTTTGTTATTTGTTTTTTTTAATAACGTGTAAAATCATGTGTTATTTTGCTCCCACTTCACAGTTCTCTGATTTGGTAATTTAAACAACAGCATCTTTACTTTTGTGGCAGTGAACACACACATACTTAAAAACAACAAATTAAAATGCTCTGCTTGCATTAGTGCTTTAACCATCCACTGTATACATTATAGCACCTCCTCTGTTCCAAAGCCCTGCATGCAGCCAGCCCCATACATACAACCAGTGTGTTTGCAAACTTCTCAAACTCGCTCCCATCTCTCACAGCAATACCCCTGTGAATTTCATGCAGAAAATCTCGATCTGTGCCACAGCAGCGGCGTAAAAAAACCACCCAAACCAAACGGGCATGTGTCCCTCGTGGCCCCGCCGCCTCTCCCCTGCACACACACGTACACACACGCACACACAAACACACACTCTGGTCCCTCTGAAGAAAACGGGCGGGGTTGGCAGTCGCACATCTGCATTTCAAACATAGCCTCTCTGGGATTCATTATTAATTAGCCCGCTGTGCCCTGGAGGACTGACGATACACCCCGACCCCTCCCTCTTCCCCCCCCTCTCATACACACACACGCACACGTGCACACACATACTTGCATTGGCACACATCGCTGACCCCTCTGCCCCTTTTTCGCTGGAGCTTGGAGAGCCCTCACCAGAATACAGAGTCCAACACGTCGTCATTTGCACCAATCAGGTCCAGACACTTCACCGAGCATAAGCTAAAAGATGATGGATTACACTGGAGCTATGGTTAAACCCACGGGCACTTTACTCTCAAAGTGCGTGAAAGAACGGTCAGAGTAAAACCAAAGAAAATGGTCAAAATTTTCTATCGGAATATTTAAAAATGAACTGTAATGTGTCCCCTTTTTATGCATTATACAGGGAAAAAAAACATATTAGCGTCTTTCAAACATTAAAAAACCTCTGCAAAAAAATATGGTGAAAAAACATAGACTTAAATAACCGTCAACACTGAACTGACATAGTTCCAGCAGTTCCTATTATAATTATAACTGAATGTATAAGCAGTTGGTGTTATTTTACATATTCATGATCAAGAGATTATTTGTTCCATGGTTGGGAAATTTCAGTGTTGCATCACATGTTACAGAACAGTAGGAATGAAGCGCACACAACACACACATGAGTGAATTTTAAGTATAGCACAAATCTACACTAAAAAAGGTCAATCTTTATCTAAGGAAACAGAGTAAAAACAAATATATATACAGTATGAACCTGTAAACTCTAGTCCAAAGAATTACAGACTTGTGTGTGTATATGTAAGTAAGTAAGTCAGTAATCTTTATTTATATACCGCCTTTCACAGACCAGAGTCAAAGTGGTTTACAATTGTTATTTTTGGGCACTTGTCCTCTCACTCCACACAGAGAGAGGGGTCGTCAGTACAGGAGGCGCATGCCAGACCTATTGTACATAATTTTAGTGGTAGGGGAAACCAGAGCAGCCGAGGAAATCTACGCAGAAACAGGGAGAACATGCAAACTCCAATCAGAAAGGCCCTGGTCCGACCTGGATTCGAACCCAGGACCTTCTTGCTGAGAGGCGAGAGTGCTATCCACTCAGCCACCGTGCCACCCAGATGTGGGGTGGATGGCACTCTCGCGAATCCCGGTCGGAGCAGGGCCTTTCTGAGTGGAGTTTGCATGTTCTCCCCGTGTCTGCATAGGTTTCCTCTGGGTACTCCGGTTTCCCCTACCACTTACAACATGTACAATATCTCTGGCATGCGGCTCCTGTACTGGCCCCGCTCCCATCTCTGTGTGGAGTGAGAGACAAATGCCCAAAAATAACAATTGTAAACCGCTTTGTGACTCTGGTCTGTGAAAGGTTGTATATAAATAAAGATTACTTACTTACTCACTATATACAGTAGACTACTTCCTACGTTTTGAAGATGAGCATCTGTTCTCCAATTAAGAAAATATATCTGTGACCGGTCAACCTGATTCAGTGCCGAAAGAGGCCAGTAGTTGAGGCAAGGCGCTTCTTCTTTACTTTTTATTTTTCATTTTAATCTAACCTTTATTTATCCAGGAAAAATCCCCATTGAGATTAAGAACTTCTTTTTCAAGGGAGTCCTGACCAAGAGGCAGCAAAGATACACATAAACAGACTGACAGATAAACAAAATGACAGGTACAGACTACACACATCAAGTAAAACAATTACAGGACACACATACAGTAGATAGTTGCTCCGTGTGCTTTATATTGTGATGTTTATTTGTATCAGGTTCACTTTAATCCTCAGTTGTACAATCACATTTAAATAAAGTCTCCAAAATCCCCTTGTTTTTTTCTGCTTTATTTCAACCAACTGCTTGTCCGTAAAAAAGTCCTAATAATTGTGAGTCTGTGTTCTGCATGTTAGAGGAAAAGACTGATTATACAGCGAGTCTCCAGGGTCTGAGGAGACTTCAAACAGTCTGAGTCCACATGAACCGGTCCCAGCAGGAGAGGAGCAACTGCAGCTCAGATTAGTAAAATACACATAAGCAGTATGACGCTTTGCTCAAAGGCACAAAGACACAGAGCCGGTTTGAGTCGTGTGCGCTGCAGGAGTCAGGGCAGGTCTCTGTGGATCGACGATTGGAAAACAACAGCATCGGAGAAATACTCTATACAATTGTGGTCACACCTGATTCAGATCTCATGAGCTAAGCAGGGCATGGCTTGGTTAGTATTGTGATGGGAGACTTTTGGGAACAGTGGGAACAGTGGGGCGGCTGCAACTGTGAAAAACGGTTACTGTGTCGTTTAAGCGAGACACTTCTCACAGACACTGGTGTGAGTCTGGTGTTTGTGTTTGTGTGTCTGTGTGTGTGTGTGGGTGTGTGTGTGCGTGTGTGTGTGGGGCAGCTGTGGCTAGGTCTGTAGTTTACCATCGCTGCGCACAAAGTGAATGAATACACCATTTGAAGTACCTTTCAGCATAAAAAAAACCAAAAAAACAGACTATGATGCATTATTATTGTGTTATAACCATTTTGGGTGATACAATCTACTAATACATTTTTAAAAATTCTTACTGCGGCAGTAAGAAAAAAAATCATCAAAGGGGTTACAACCAAATGTTAACTGCATGAATTAACAAACACTTTAACAAAGCTTTGAGCTGAAAAATAGATTTTCTGATTTGTAATTGGTAAAATTATCTGGTCATTACATTCATGATCACCTAATCATAGTTTTTATTATTGGTTTTTATTTGTTATTGTGCTTTATTCAACTATTTTTATCATATTTGTTCATATTATCATTATTATTATTATTTGTGTCATAA